GTCTTCCTAAACCTTTCAGGGAGCAGGAGAAGGAGAGGAAGAGGGTTTGCTGTTGCTAACCGAGGTGTCTTTGAAACACCTTGAAGGCAAAGCTGAGGAAGATGCTGGGAACAGAAGGGTCTCAGGTCACTAATTATCTTGTGGTTCTGTAGGAAGCCTGGCGCAGCCAAGGCAAAAGTGAAAGCCCCAGGTGATGACCTGGGGATGGGATGGGGTGGGATGGGATGGGATGGAAGGGGATGGGATGGGATGGAAGGGGATGGGATGAGATGGGATGGGATGGGATGGGATGGAAGGGGATGGGGTGGGATGGGATGGGATGGGATGGGATGGGATGGGATGGGATGGGATGGAAGGAGATGGGATGGGATGGGATGGGATGGGATGGGATGGGATGGGATGAGATGGGATGGGATGGGATGGGATGGGATGGGATGGGATGGGATGGGATGGGATGGGATGGGAGGGGGATACCCCCATGGGCAAGTAGGCAGCTGGCTGAGGGCAGCTCTCTGAGCATGAAGCATCAGTTCGACCATGCTGTGAGAGATGGGAAGAGGGTGCCATGATGTCCCAGGCCTCACAACTCCTGACCATGTCCACAGCAGCCATGAGTGCTTACGAAGACAAAATATTAAGGTGTCGGCTGGCTGAACGCTCAGGCTCAGTGAATACTGAGAGAGCAAACAGGCTTCAGCTATTTTGAAGACAACAAATCCAGACAAAAGATGCAGCAAAGCTGACTGTAACGGCATATGCCACAAAAAGTTAGCTCCTTGTCCTTTGTAGCCAGGGTGGGCTGCAGCTGCAACGCGGGGGGAGCGAGGGGGGGGCGCAGAGCAGGAGTGCAGCTGCTCCCCGTCACGTGGGGAGAGCCCACACGACACCTCCTGGGGATGGCTCAGAAAAAAAGGAGGGAGGGGAGGGAGGGGGGCTGGCCCCAGGATCCCCTGCGATACGGCTGCTGACGGGAAGCAGATACATCAGATGAGGGACAGCGAGTAACAGGCTACGGCGCGTTGAGGTGCTCCCTGCAAATTGCCATCCGAGTTAAAAAAAAAAAAAAAAAAAAAATTGGAAGGGTTGAAGGTGGTGAAGTTGTTGCTGGCTGTACAGAGCCATAGAAAGATACTTGTGCTACCCTCCAGGAGTCCTGAAGTGGTTTTTGTTCATTTGGAAAATGCAACACTTTATTAAGGCTGTTGATTTACCACCAGTTGAGCTGGAAGAATAACGAACAGATAAACTGGGCTTCTTTTATTCCCCAGGTGCTTAATAAATATATTCCCAAACAGACAAGCATGTATATTACAAATTCAGATGGGACAGTTGGGAATCAGCGAGTAAATCTGGGTGGAGAATCCTCTGCTTGAAGCTATTTTGCAGATTTCATCTATTATCCATCAGGGTTCAAGACGCAGCGGTGCTATAGGCCAGGAGTGATATTCGTGAAGAATTTAAGCACATAAAGTTAATGATGTGAGAACAGGTGTTCACTGCTGTAGTTGATGGGGAGGAGTTTGGTACAGCGTCTACATAAGGACGATGTGAGCAGTGAGAGATGGAACTGCGTACGGGTGGCAACAGTGAGGGAGAATACCAAACAGCAGAGCTGTCATGTGTGAGCCGTGGGGTGATTCTGAAAAGGGTTTAAAAAGATGATGCTGCAAAGGTTAAAGCCCTAACTCAAATGAAGGTAGGGAAAAAAAAAAAAAAAAAAAAAAAAAGAATTTAAAAACAAGTGATGGATGCTGTCAGGTACCTAGAGGCTCATATATCACCTGCATGAAGGAAAACATATACCCTCGTGAGACAGCTACAGAGCGAAACGGATGGGGTTGAGGGATGGCATAGCAGACCTGGCACTGTCCAGCCAAAACACTCCCTACCACAGCTGTCCCCTTGCTGGGAGTGACCCCCCCGCCCCACCAGTGGGTATTACCGAGAGCACTGTAGCACCAAATGGCGGCTTCTTAACACTGGGATTGCGATAATTAGTGGATTTGAGCACTCAAGTTAATGCAATTTCCATTACTGGACCTTTTCCTCAGTCCCTGTAACTTTCTCAAATTAATTCTAGGTTTCCTTGCCCAAGCCCTCCTCATGAGGGGCTTCTTGTTGTTTTTTAAAGGGGTGGGGGAGAGAAAAAAGCAGAAATGCAACCAGAAATCCAGTCTCCTTTTTGATTCTTATGGAAGGATTTAACCAAATGCAACCATCTGACCTCAACATTCCAAACAAAACTGAACAGATTTTGTTCAGCCATAGCGCAGCCTCACAGGTTCTCTGGAACAATCCAAATTCTAAGGACACTGAACTAATTCTTTCTGTACAGACATGGCAAGACTGGATTAATAGGCTGGGGAGTAGCTAGCGTACAGCTATGTGCGTATTCAGCTCCTGAGGACCTTTCCAAGTTATTTTTCCCCCATCTTCCTCTCCTGGAGCGTCTCTGAGCATGATGAACTCCACCGAAATACCTAAGTGTAAACACTATTGAAATGTCCAGGACGAGTGGACTGGAGGATGCCAAACCTTTCAACAGCAGGGTAGAAGACACTTGCTGTGAATACGGCCAAAGAAACAAAGCAGAGGATAAAGAGCATGGGCTGCTGGAGCCTTAGGTCCTTTTCTGTCACAGGTGGGTCTTAATAACTGGTGTTTATCAAATGTTGCTTTGTCATATTATTAGTTGTATTTGCCTATAGGGAAACTGATGTTTATCGCCTGCCTTACCGGCATGGGATTGGGATCAGGATGTCAATGTGAGACTGCCTTAAGAGAATGGAAGTAAAACCAATGGGGAAAAACACCGGGTGGAAAGGGAACTGGTGCTGTTGAGAAGTCGAGACCGGAGACACAGAGAGAAAAGGTGCTTGAACCTGCTGCCTAAGAGGACTGCATCATCTCAGAAAAGCGTGCTTCTCCTCAAGGAATGCTAAGTATTTTTAATGTATTGGAGCCTACCTACAGCTCCTGCCTGCACAGCCTGGTGCCAAGCAAAGCCTAGAAAAAGTACACATTGCCTGAAGCACAACAGGATGTGATGGTAGGTTGACAATTTGCAGAAAACACAAAAGATCAAGCCAAATTCTGCAACTCGCTGTTCGTTTTAGCTGAGCGATTAAAACACTAGCAAAAAAAAAAAAAAAAAAAAGAAAAAAGAAAAAGACGGAGCAGATGCAGCATCTCCATGGGGCTCCTTCTCACCACCACCGCTTTCCTGCTCCTGCCTTGTGCTTTCTCATCCTCTGGAGTGTCACGGCAGTCCCAGTTACTAAAAAGGCACAACGGCAGCACCGCAGCGCTCCAGAGCTGGACGCGCCCGTGGGGGGCAGCGGGAGGATGGATGCAACCCGAGGCAATTCAGAGAGACACTTGTGTCTTCCTGGGAGGACATGGGACTGCCCCGCTTTGGGGCGAGGAGCCATCTGCTCTTGGATAAAGAAACTCCTGGCTTTCTGGTGCAAGATGACCTCCCGGCTCTTCCTGGAGAAGTGTGTGTGTGTGTGGGGGGGGGGGGGGGGGGGGGGGGGGGGAGGGTCCCATGCGGGCTGGGCCCCCCAAGCTGGGTACCAAGTGGAGGAGGACGGAGAGGTTTGGTGGCCCTGCTTCCTCTCCCGGCCAGCGCCACACTCGTCCCACTTCCACAGCGCCCAACCTGTGGGCTTGCAGGGATCCCTGGCTGCGTCCCGATGAACAGAGCTCTTGTCACCACGTGCCCGATCACCTTCCCCAGCAATCCCACCTCCTTCTGCGCTGGGGGGGACGGCCAGGCAAGGAGGGGGCACCCAGCTCTCCCTCTTACTTAAAATCAACAACAACAAAAAATGGGTATCAGTGAACTGGAAACAAAAATGCTCAGCAACACAGGAAATAATTAAAGATTAATTTCACTCCAAAGAAGATAATTTCATTTTGCTTTACCTTTTTGAAGTCCTTAAACATAAAGAATTTCCAAACTGAAACATGTTTTTAAAACACAGAATTAAGTATTTTCATTTTGAAAATTGTAGATCCATTCATTTGAAAACCTCAGATGAAACACTGGAGCATTTTTTTTTTCCTTTTTTTTTTTTTTTAAAAAATTGTCAGAACTATTCACTAAAAACATGATGAACTAGTTTCAATTGACCTACAGTTGCATTTTTTTTTTCCAGATCAATTACTCCTTTGGAAAAAAACTGTCCCAGGACTAACCAAGAGCACAGCCTTGGACCTTCAGCATGCAGAAAGCCTTTCTATCCATTCATTGTTCCCTAATGCGCATTAAAAATTGCACATAAGATATAAATGTTGTGCTGTGTAAACCGTGCATAGCGGGGAAGAGAAGAATGATGAGGTGTATCCGCCAGGCTCCATCCACATCAGTCACCAGCTTCCTGGGCAAATTCCTTACCCAGCTGAAGTCAACAGCAAAACTCCCAGCAGCATCAAGAGTTTCAGGGGTTTGCTTCATTCGGTTGTATTTTCTCGTCCCCAAATCGGCTTTGAAGCGCCGCTTTTTAACTTGAAAATTTGGATCTACTGTGGAGAAAAAAAAAAACAAACACTAAAACCCTCACAGGCTCACGACCCCCTGACGCTCCTCAGCTAGCACCTGTATTTTAGGTGCTGTTCCCTGCACGCAGGGGCCTCCAGGCCACGGGTACCAGTCGTGGCGGTGCCGAGCAGCCGACAGTGCCAAGCTGGCTCCGGCACCTGCACACGCGTGTGCACACTCACATGCACACGCACACCACCCACACCCCCCCAGACCCCCCCTGCCTCTCCCACAACACACACAACAAAGGAACCCCGAGCCCTCCTCGACCTCCGCAGCATCGCACTGTCCCTGCCGTGCAGCTCCCACATGAAACTCTAATATATCTCAAAATAATTCTCCCATGGCCTTTTCTAGCCCAGATCAATTATCTCTTTTTCTGTCTATACAATGGCTATTCTCTTATCAATGTTGTTTTTCTCTCTCATCCTTTCCCTCTCTTTATTTTTTTTTTTTCTTTTTAATGGGGGGGAGAGTGGGGGGCAGGGTTGGAAGCTGCTAATTAACCCTTCACATAACAGGTTCCCTGGCACGCATCGCCACCCAGCGAAGGTGGGGCTGCGAGGAGGAGGAGGAGGAGGAGGGGGAGTGAGGAAGACGACACGACAAACACGAGGCCACGCAGCAGCCGGTTCCAGACACAACATCTGCAGAATGAGGCCATTTTTCTGTAACTCTAATCTCATAATTCATTGTTTGTGCGGTGTTGGTTACAGTAGCTGAAAGGGGGGATAACAGCAGGTCAATTTGGCACAGAAGCGTGTTTGAATCTGCAATGAGGGACTAGACCACCTTCTGATGAGCTGCTGAACCGTGGCCAGAAATAGAGAAAATAAGCAGGAAAGTGGCTTAAAAGGAGGAACGAGACCCCTTAAAATTATATAAACCCGCTAGAACGACTTATTTCTTTGAATCCGTGGGGGTGGCGAGCGTTTGGCGAGCGCCAGGGCGACGCGACAGCCTTTTCCTCACCGCTGCTGCTGTTCATTTACTTTTTTAGGCTCCCGTGGAAGTGGGCTGCTGGCTTGGCTCCTGCAGCCAGGGACTCGCCGGCACTGCCGCAGCCAGGCGCCGTGGCACTATCTGGCTCCTCTGTGCTGCCAACCCTTTTGCCTTTTATTATTTTTTTGTTTCTGCAAGAGAAAAAAAAAAAAAAAAAATTTTTTTTTTTTTTTTTTTTTTTAATTCTCCATAACATCGAAGGACGCCCGAGCCCGGTGCGGGCGGTTGTGCGAGGTGTGTTGGTTAATATAAGTGGCTGATTACTAAACTTCTCGTTTTGAACCGCAAAAACCTAGCATGTCAGCCTAAATTAGCTAACAGCAAGGGAGTGTCCTTCTCGGTTTGCAGGCCACAGCACATCTGCTCTTTGAAGAAAGAGAACGAGCAAAATAGGGTTGGGTGATTGGCGGTGGGTTTGTTGTTTTGTTTTTGGTTTTGTTGTTTTTTTTTTTTGTTTTTTTTTTTTTTTTCCTTTTGCCTCCCCTCAGCCTCCCATTTGTGCATGTGTTCGTAAATATCCTGATGAGAGGCCGCCTCTCTGGTTGGTGTGTGGGAAGGCGGGGGGAAGGAAGGTGGATAAAGAGCGATTCTCCGCCTGCGTGGGGGACACCCTTCCTCCCCTCCCCGCCACCTCCTCTTCCTCCCCCTCCTCCCGCTGTCTGACCTTGAGTTCTGTTCCCTGCTCCTGCTCCCGCTCCCCTCCTCCCCCCTGCCCGCCCGCATCTGGCATCCCAGGCAGGCTGGTGCGGCTGGGGGGCCGAAAATCCCCCCTCCCCACGCCCCTTAACCCCTCCTGCTCCCTACCGTGGGTGCTCCCCGGCCGTCCCCGGCACAGCCCCCCCCCCGGGGACCTGGGGGCTGAGGGCGGGGAGCAGCCCCCCTGGGCTCCCCGGCACGGGTGTCCCAACGCCGCGGCGCTGCCGCTCAACGACCCCAACCCGGTTTGTCTTTCCCAGCAGTGGGACTGGGGAACAATGGGCGGCCTTGTGCCGGCCCAGGCTGCCCGTCCCCGTCCTTGCAGCTGGCGCGTCCACCAGCGCTAAGCTCCAGTGAGCGGGATCAGCTGAAACACCCCCCCCCCCCCATTCCCCTTCACCCTCTTCAAGGGCTTCCCTGTCCACCGGGGCCGCTATCGGTTACCCGAAACATTTGGTTCGCAATGCTGGGAGGCGGCGGGATCTTCCAGCAGCGGGCGGTGATCCTCGGCGCGGGGGGGGGAAAAAGCTCGCCCTGCGTTAGTTTACCACAGTTTCACCCACACAGAAAAGTACAATGGAGACAGATCACGCACAACGACAGGCCGCCGGCGGCTCCAGGGGGGGGGATCCATAATTTATGATGTTTTTCTTACCGAGCCGGTTTTGGATTTCACAAGCGGGCCCGTTTCCTTCCCATTTGTTGCTTCCTTCCGTCCTCGTTTCAAGAAATTGAACGCCGGGCTCAAAATGAGCGGGAGCGGCGGCGGCTGCCCGGCTCTCCCAGGTGACTGTGTTTGCACGGGGCGGGTGGGGGTTCCCCCCAGCCTCACCTTGCTGCCCGGAATTTTTCGCAGGGAAAGGGGAATGCCCTGCCACACGCCTCGCCGTACCTCAGCTCCCTGACGAGCGGCGGCGGTGGCAGCCCTAGCTGCCCTGAACCACATTCGGGTTCACGGGGTCACCCGGTAAAAGCCGGGCTGCCGGGACTCCCGGCGACTGGCTGATTAAAGGTGAGGAGGTTAGTAACGGCTTTTAAGGATTCTTACTCAAATAAATAAGAATCAAAACTGAGTCTTCTCTGTCGTCTGTAATCTAGCCGTCATTCCCTTGCCAGAAATAGATGCGCCCGGGCAAGATGCGGGCGGTCAGATGCCACCTCTGCGGGTGCCATCCGTCACATCCAGACGCGGAGGTGCGGAGCTACGTGGGTTTGTCTGACGGGCCAAGCCCGAATGGTGCATCTGGGGATCCCCCCCCCCCCCAAGTTTTGGATCCGAAGCCAGGTTTTTGGCTGAAACCCGTCCCTGCTGTGAGCCCCGGGTCCTGCCTGCTCCGTGGCCACGCTCCCGACCTCCCCGCACCCGTTTGGGAGGCCTCCCCCACGGAGGCAGGGAAAGAACCGATGCTGAGGTCCCCACCCGCGGGCCCGTCGGTGAGGGGGGTGCAGAGCTGAGCGCCCCCGGCCCCGCACCGTGGCCGCCTGCCCTGCTGGGACATCCGGGTGGTTTGCAAATGACCAAGTAAGGTGAAAACCACCCTCACTGTGGTTACCAGCGGCTGTGATTAGTCACACAGTAAGTGATCCAATTATAGCAACCCCTCCCCCGCAACACCCCCCACTTCATCTGTTTGAAAGGAAAAGCCCAGGCCTCCCTTAATTCGATTTTAGCATGGGTTTATATCCGAAAGAAAAAGGAGACTGAAGTTGGAAAGGGAGGTGGGGGGGGGGGGGGGGTGAGGAGCGGCAGGGAGGCACTAGTGAGGTTTTGGTTTCTAAATCTTCTGTGGCTCGCAGTGATGGGAAGCCCCTGCACCCGCGCCTTCAGACGGGCATCGGCTGAATTGAGGCAGCTTTTGGGGAGGTGGGGGCCCTGCAGCTGTGTGTGTGTGCCGGGGGGGGGGGGAGTGTGGGGGCAGAGGGCATGGACCGCTGCGGTGGTGCCCAACACACGGCCTCGCCAGGTTGGTGCATCTCCTGCCACCACGGTTTACTGACCCCGAGCTGCTCTCCTGCTGCTTCCCACCTGGACTGTTGCACAGCTCAGTTTCCTTTTATTTTTTTCTATCTATCTATCTATCTATCTATCTATCTATCTATCTATCTATCTATCTATCTATCTATCTATCTATCTATCTATCTATCTATCTATCTATCTATCTATCTATCTATCTATCTATCTATCTATCTATCTATCTATCTATCTATCTATCTATCTATCTATCTATCTATCTATCTATCTATCTATCTAATCTATCTATCTATCTATCTATCTGTCTGTCTGTCTGTCTATCTATCTATCTATCTATCTATCTATCTATCTATCTATCTAATCTATCTATCTACCTGTCTGTCTGTCTGTCTGTCTATCTATCTATCTATCTATCTATCTATCTATCTATCTATCTATCTATCTATCTATCTATCTATCTATCTGTCTGTCTGTCTGTCTATCTGTCTATCTGTCTGTCTGTCTGTCTATTTATTTGTTTAATTAAAAAAAAAAAAAAGGGATTTCAAGCGATTTCAAGGACCCCATCTGATCCGCCTTGCAAATGGCTGTGGTTTTCAGAAATGCGTTTCCCCTTTTGCCGGGCCCACAGGCAGGCAGGGGAAGAGGATGAGGGGGGCGAGGCCGCTCGCCCCATCCTCCTCTCCCCCAGCCGGCGCTGGGAGCAGGTGACAGGCACCTGCGTCCCCACACCAACCGGGGGAGCCCCCCCCCCCCCCCCCCCTCCCCGGGCCCCCTCCCCGGCGGCCACCGGGGTGGCGCAGGGGGCAGGTGGGAAGCAGGGAGGGAGGCGAGGGGAGGCATTAATTTGCCCCGGTGGCAGGCGGTGTCGCCTGCCCGCAGAGCGTGGAGCTGGGCACCACCTGGGCCCCCCCCAAACACCATCCTGCCTGAAGGAGCCTGCACCCTGTGAATCCCGCTGGCAACCTCCGCAGAGCCCCTCTGCGGCAGGGCCCGCTGCTACCACCGTCGGTCACTGTTATTTATTGTCTTCTTTCAGTGAGGAGCAATCCCTGGGGCAGACGAAGGCTCGGTAATGCTGATCCCATACAAGGTCCTTCTCCACCTCTCCTCGCACGCCTGGGTTTTTTGGCCATGCCGTGCTCAAACGCAATCACCCCGGCTGGGAGCGTGCATGGTCTCCTTTAGCAGGGTGAGGGCTGAGATACAGCTAAGGCAAATCCCCAGACGAACAATAACGGCACAGCCTTGTTCCCACGCTGCCGGTTTTCACCCCAGCGCACAGTTTTATGGCTGAGCTGTAAATCCTTGGGAAACCATCTAATGGAGAGCCCGATCCTTCCGTGTGGTGTTCGCTGCAGTGGTCATGGGGTGAGCCCTCCTCCTTCTCGTGGATGCAGCCGCTTTTCTCCCAGCAGTGGGCTTCACAGGTCCATCTCATGTGCACCTTGGGTTTTAGCTGGCCAGGGCTGAAGAAACACCCACAAAAGCTAAGGGCTCTGTTGCAAAGGAGAACAAGCGAGGGCTGGGAGGCTGCGGCCTGACCCAGCCTCGGTGGTGAGCTGTGAGGTGGCTTGGGGGGATCTTGTCAGGACCCCGCTGGGAAAAATCTCCCCTCTTGTTTGAGGGGGGGAGTCCGTGGCTCCTGTTACAGCCGTTCGCTGCCCACACCCTGACAAATCACTCCTGGCTGCGGGCATTGCCGTTCTGGGGATCATGCAGCAATTTGCAGGGAGTTTCTTGGCCTTTCAGGGCAATTGCTGTGAGAACACTGGCCAAAATATTTCTGAGGGCAAGATAGATACGGGCACCTCCCTCTCTGCCCACCAGATTTATTTCCTAATACACTTTGACTCAACACATTCTTGACTCCCTGAGTAACTGGGAACTTCCCTGGAGCTTGTCCAACAGGTGCCCTCCATTATGTTGCTTGCCTGCTGACGTTGCCTTCCAGCTTAAGCTTTCCTGCTTTTCCCACCTTCTCCCTTCCCTGTCTACCTTCTTGCCTGCCGGGGAGGATTTCTTCCCACTTCTGCCTCCTGCCGTCCCCGGACAAGCTAAGGAAAACATCCTCTCCCCCCTCCATAGTGATGCGTTCCCCTCACGCGTCCACTTGCCAAGTGCCAGCAAAGTGCCCTCCTTGTTGGCGACTGGCACTTGGGCTGCAACACCCGCAGGGGTGGGAGCCCCCCGGCGCCACAGAGATGTGGAGGACCGCGTCCACCTACCTCTTCCCTACCCACCCATCCTCCTGGCCTCTGGGGCATGGTTCAGCAAAACAGCACTGGCACAGCAAAATATTGTAGTCCCTGCTTGAACTGGTGCCAGCCCCGATACCAGCGTCGCAGCCTGGGGAAGCAGCAGCGGATGTCTGAAGCCTCGGAGAACAGTTTCCCAGCGGAGGAGACATGAATGACATAAAGTCGAGGTCAAGGCGGTCCAGCCCCAACCGCCGCCGTGCCTGGAGATTGGCTTGAGCAACAACCTTCCTGCGCGGAGGTGAAGGGGCCAAGATGGGGCTGGTGGGAGCCCTTGTGTCTCTTAGGTCCCCCTCAGGCCGAGGGCAACACTTTTCCTGCAGGAAAAGAGTGATGTTCTCATGAGGGTCGGGAGCATCCATGGCCAGACCCCAGAACTGACTCCCAAGCAGGTTAAAACAGGCTGGGTTAAACAAATTCTGAACATTAGTTATTTGCTGGTTGCCAATATGTGCCAGTCTACCAGCAGTTTAACTGCACTGTGTCAGCCCTTCTTCCCAGCACAGCTGGCGCCTGCCCTGGGAACTGCTTGTAACTGGGACAGGGAGCAGTCAAAAAACACCCCTGGCCTTTCACACAGCATCCTCTTCAAGTTGTGCTGCTTCCACACAGAGCTGTGCTCGGCAAAAACCCAGGTGTGTCTTCCCAAGCCTGAGTATAGTTGCACATGAAGCAACAGGACTGGAACGGCAACGTGTATCGGGCACCCGGCGTCAGTTGTGCCTGTGAGGCTACTCAGACTGTCGGAAACATCACCATTAGTGTTGCTTATTGGTTGCACACAATGAGATACAGAAGCAGCTCCCAAGGATAAGGGTTGCATTTTCTCTGCATCTCGGCAGAACTGGTTCCTGCCAGGAAGTGGTTCAAATTTTAAAGTCTGATCCAAAACGCACAAAGTCCTGCAAACCTTGATAGGTTACAGTTCAAGTTCTTCATGAGTAAAGAAGTGGAAAGAGAAACAAAATCATTTTCTTTAATGAATGGAAGGGAGGGAAGAAATTCCCAAATAATTGTAAGTGTGTTTACAGTGACTCCCACTGTTTTATGCCTGTGACCCTGGGTCAGATGTGGGGTTTTGTATAGATCCAGCCATAAGTACATAATACACTTGTCATAGATGAGATCAGCTCTGATGTATTTTTCTGGCAGCTTCGGAGCCATCATATTTTCAATGTTTTGTCCAGTCAATCACATCTCAAATGGTGGGGCTTCCATCACATCCCTCCATCGCCTCAGAGGAGCTCTTTGTCCTAACAAAGTTTCTCAGTGTCGGCAGTAAGTCTCGGGGTGGAAAAAGATGAGCCTGTTTTACCATCCACCTCCAGATGTTTGTATTTTTATTAACTGCATGCAAAATGTAATCCCTCGCAGTTCTCCCTGGCTCTCACCTGCCTCTCTTGCACGGATCGAGGAGCACACACCTAAGTGGCCGAGCACGATGCTGTGCGGAGCTACCCTGGGCAGGCCTGAGAAGCCATCCCTTGCTGATGGGAGGCGGTAAGCCTCTGCTTGCTCCCCAGCCCCGCTGGGAACAGCAGCCTGGGGTGAGCAAGGCACCTACGCCTCATCCAGGGCCAGAGGTAGCCCCCCACCCCCCCCGGGAGCCGACCACTTAACGTCACCACGAAGGTGGTGCCAGGCTCAGCCGCCGTGCCCCGAAGCGCTGCGGGGCAGGCGGCACAGCGGTGGGAACCGCGTCGCCCGGAGGTCTCCGTAATGGGCAGCTACAGACTCACTAGCTGCTTTCCTTCCTTGCAGGAAATCCGCAGGGGTATGCCCGGGCTTGGAAAACGAGCTGCTTTTAGACCCGGCTTTGCAGGCGTCGCCGGACGCGCTCAGGGGCTGCCCGCTGGTTTGCACGC